CTCCAGGAGCCAGTAGGTCTAACAACCATAATACAAGGTATTCTGTCTTTTTGAATGGCAGCTTCAATACAAATATCTGTGTGGTTTACAGTAACCACATCAGATATTTTTCTACTCTGCAACTGTGCTTTTGTAGCAGAGATACACCTGTTACATTTTTTTTTTCCCTGAGGAAAAGCACAAGTTTTAGTTCATAAGACAAACACTGGTTAAAATTTGCCACTCTTAACAACATTAAACAAATATTTATTGATCATCTACCATATACTAAGCACTGTTGTGGAGATTCAGCAGTTACAAAACTGATAAAAAGTCTTCAAGGCTGTTCTATTCTAGACAGACAAAGCAAAAAATAATTATAATATATTATGGTTTGGATGCTGATAAGTACTCCGGAAAAAGAGTAGGATAAAGAGCAGGAAAAGCCTAGGGGAGCTTACGATTTTTAAAAAAGTGTTCAGGAAAGCTCTCATCATGAAGGTGGTGACATTTGAGTAAAGACCTGATGGAAATGAGTCAGCAAGCCGTGTGGATATCTGGACAAGAACCTTTCAGGCAGAGGGAACACCTTGTGCGAAGGTGCACGTAGGCTGTCACAAGCAGTGAGGAGTTTAATTTAAGCATCTGCCAGGGACGAAAATTCAGTCAAGGCTTTTTTGTGGTTGTTGCTATTAGGAATCAATCTACAAGAGAATTTAATCAGCTTAAGATGAACATCAGTGCAGATCTGTTTAGTGTTCTCTCCCAGCCATGACCTCATTGCAAATACTGACAGCCTGGACTGCCTCTCAGATTTGGATGGGCCTTGGATGCTCAGCCAGGCAAACCCAGATGGAGCTAGAAGTGGAGGGTTTTGGTAGCTCTGTGGGCTCTGTGGCTTCTTCGTCTTATGATCTCTCCACATGGGGCTGCATATAAATCATATGTAACCAATGATTCCAAGTTTTAATTTAACCTAAAATGTAGTCTATTACCATATTTGCACTAAGAAGTAAATATAACAGGATTCTACCTCAGATTAGCTAATGGTAGATCCTTGTCCCACAGATAGCCACGGCATGGGGCTACTGAAACCGAAGTATTTCTCATGCCACCAAATTGTGCCTTCAATTTTGTCTTTACACAGGACAACATAGTAAGAGGTCAATGTTAACTTTAAGCCTTACATAGGATTTTCAGAGATTGTTACACTTACATTCAACCAGTATGGAAAACTGGCACTAGGCCTAACTACCCCATAGCTAGCATAATAGCATAACAATGCTCTTCTAGCCTAGCAATCCACATCTCATTCTAGGGGGTTTCCAGTTTACTAAGAACATTTTCCTAAAGCTTCTATATATCCTTGGAGCTTACTATCATTCTCAATAAGAATAAAGTATTATCAAGAACCCAACAAATGGACATTTGAAAGCAGGCACTGAGTTTAATTTATTTTAGGCCACCTTTGATTTGTTTGAAGCCTATATTCCTTAAATATGAAGATCGGTACTTACTTCATGAGAATAAAGGTTTAAGAGACAACTAAGGTTTCTATAGCAAAGAGAAGTGACTGAACTTCTAGATTGGTCATAATGACTTACCAGTAACTGATAATAGTGTTTTAAGATCATACTAATTCTGTTTCTCTGTGTGGATTATTTAGATTTGCTTTAGATGTCTAAGTCAGCTGTGGTAGATTTGAAGAAACACAAAGTCCTTAAAATATGACTAGATATGTTGTTTTAGATCCAAATTAGATCCAATTGATCATTGTGATTGTGACCGAGTATAAATTTAGAATTATTGTAACCTAATATGTTGAGGTCGTTCCATAAATATATTTAGGAGTAGCTAGAGATGACATTTCTATAATGCAACTATGCTGTAATCAAAGCAACAACTCAGAAATTTACCTGCATGTAAAATAAAAACCTTAATTTTTTTTTTTTTTTTTTTGAGACAGGGTGTCATTCTGTCACCCAAGCTGGAGTGCAGTGGTGTGATCAAGACTCACTGCAGCTTTGATCTCCTGACCTTTTGGGCTCAGGTGATCCTCCTACCTCAGCCTCCCTAACTGCGCCCGGCTAGTATTCTTGTATTTTCAGTAGAGTGGGGTTTTGCCATGTTGCCCAAGCTGGTTTCAAACTCCTGAGCTCAAGTGATCCCCTGCCCCTGGCCTCCCAAGGTGCTGGGATTACAGGCATGAGTCACCGCACCTGGCCAGCTTTACATATTTTTAATCTGTCAGATTTTTTGTTCTTGCTATTCTAAAAAAGTCACTGAAAAGAAATCATTTATCATTCTTTTTACACACAATATAATGCAGTTTTTAAATTAATGAGGTAGGCCAATTATATAAAATTTGGAAGAGTATAAAGTTTTTATTCATAATTAAAATATGTTATTCTGGAGAACAAAAAAAGAGTAGTGGTCTGTCTTCATTTGTAGAATTTCCTTTAAACTGATGGAAACTTACCTCACAGATGAGATTTGTGGGCCACTGTAAATACATACTCTACAAATTATGTACCCCACAGCTTTGAGCTGCCAGGCACTATAGCAGAGGGCTTCCTCAGACTCTTGAGCCAGTCTTGAAATTTTTAGCTTCCCATATACTAACTGTGTGATCTCAGGCAAGACAGCTTATTTATGCCACAACTGAGACCACAGTAAGGATAATAATAGTATCTACCTTGTGGATTATATGAGGACTGAATAAATTAACATACAACATGTTCTTAGAATAGCGGCTGGCACATGGTGAATAAACATTAGCTATTATTCTAATATGTGGTAAAGTGAGGAACTATGAAGTACTGCATGAAATTTTTGTATTTTTATTGAGTTTCATCAATTTTTTTTTTTACTGAACCCGGTATGCTTTCTGGTCTGAACACACAAGGAAGCAAAGAAGGATGGCTCCTATACGTGAAAGTGACCCCTGCATATAGTGCCTGAAATAAGAGGAAGTTTGTCAGTGTGGGCAGACAGCACGAGTAGACCAATCTGACATTCCGCTTCTCTTTTAACCTCTTGACAATTAATGAAAGTTATCCGATGAAGATCCTTACATTAATTGCTTCTGATTGAGGTTTAAAACCTTGGTTTACTGTGGGATAAATTTAGGTTTTTGATAGTCATCCAAAATTTTTGTACCCTTTCAGTTTCATTGCGGAATAAAAAACAAATTTACCAGAATGGATTATTACATTACATCTGGTATTTATTCCTCTCAAGAAGCTATCTGCTTCGGAAAAGGCAGGGGCGCCCTTCATTAATATATCTAGCTGCTGGTGTAATGACGTAAAATTCCTTGTTGACCCCTGCTATTCAGGGTTATTGTCTTGGAACACAGAATTTGATAATCTCTTTTCACTGCATAATTACAAATGTTAGTCTGTAAAAGTATTTTACTTTGTTCAATCCAGGTTCCAGACATTTTGCCTGCTCACCAGAAGTTCTTTTGATTAATAAGACTACTGGTCACGAAAACTCAGCTTACTAAAATTAGAGGGGAAGAGATCCAGTTTTCTGGTTCTAACTAAAACATCCCACCGGATGCAGGTGTACTTGCAAATTAAAGTTTGCCTCATGAGTCCCGTCTCAAGTCATACAGACGGCCCAGGAGGGTGGAGCCCCTGCAACCTGCCTAGCGCGGCGTTTGCGTGTCTGGGGGTGTCGGGACACGCGCAGGACACACACAATCCAACTTTCCTAGTCTCGCTCTTACCTCAAGGCTGTCAACTTTTTCGCTCCCCACTGCGCGCACAACCCCCACCTCACGCTGCCACCCCCTCACGCCCCACCTTCAAAGTAGGAGACACCATTGTCATTGGACACTCCTTCTCTCACTCCTATTCCAGAACCAATCACTCGAGTTCTGGTGGGGAGCCCCTAAGCCAATGGAAATGCTCGTTGCGGCAGCTGCCGGGTCCTGAGCGCTGGGAGGCGGTGCCGGGGGCGGGGTGCGGCTGGGGCGAATTAGTTGCCATTCGAGTGAGGAGTGGGTAGAAGCGGCGGCGGCGGCAGCGGCGCGGACTCCGAGGA